TTCTTCGACCAGACGACCATTGACCAACACACGGTCCAGGGTGAGAAAAGTACCCTGTAGCCATTCTCGTAGCTGCTAGGTCGATGTGTTTGCGGCCAGCCAGTCTCGGATGAATTCGTTAACCATAGATCCAAACTCCCACTTCGACGACAGGTCCGGTAGTAGTTCGGCAACAATTGCGTCGATGGATTCCCCGGGTAGTTGCGCTTGTCGCCCAAAGCGATGTTGTGCAACGACTATGTTTGAAGTTGCCACAAAGTAGCTCTTAATGACCACCAGAGCGACATCACACTTGTCTGGTGCAGTGGGTGTCTTTTGACCTTCAGGTGGTTCACTCGGTTCTGGTATCGGAGGGTGCATCTCAGAAAGGGTGTAGAAGATTCGTTGGCCCTCGACCCCGAGGCAGTGCAGCACTAGGGTCTTCCGTTGAGTAAGTCCGTGGGCATCGCCTCCCATAGCAAGCAAGTAGTTGTTAAAGACATGTCGCTCAGTTGCTTCCATGGAATGGCAAGTTTTCTGAGAACAGGCAAAAAGGGGGGCGGCACCGCGAGGCTCATGATTTCGCCTTCTCGTCGCTACTGATGCATTACTGCCAAAGCGGCCCAAGTGACACTGCTCCAGTGCCGCTGAACATTAACCAATGTTTATTTTCATTTGCTCTTTTATGACAGTGCAGTGCAATAGTGACGCCGCTGCAACAGTATTTAGTAAGCAACATGTCACGAATCCTAATCCAAATATGTCACCAAAACGTCGAAAGTACAATGTTCGGCATTTTTTTACTTCGGGTAAAACTGGATAAAAGTATCAAGTGGCCAAAATGAAGCATTTCACCTTGCTACTCTTAAAGGCGTTCGGACACGAAATTTAAACAGGTAGATTATTCTTGAAATGGAATGCTCATAGGCTACTTTGTATGTATATGCAAAGTTTTGCGATTTTTAGAGCTCTTGTAATTGTAGTAATCAATTTACGAATGTTGATCATTTGCGTTTGGCAACCAGGCAGCACTTCTCAAGTTAGTCACACCATGGTGACCATCAACCACGTGATATTTAGCTGAACGCTCTTTCATTCGAGGCACCTCCATGCCTGCCCAAGCTTGCCTCGCCACAGTATGATCGCACGCTCTTGCACTACTCGGCTACTCCAACGTGTACTCTTGCTCTTGTCCTTTCACCCTTCGACCTTCTAGTCTGCATGCGCGTACGAGATTGTCACAGACAACGGCGAGTTCATGCGTGACGATTTTGTCGTCGTTGCTGGAGCTGGTCGCGAGTGGGTCAAAGTCAAAATAACGAGCTTCTAACATGTTTCAAAAACACCCCTTTCATCGCTGCTGCGAACAGTGTCGAAGACACAGAGCGAGCGATGCCGTAGACGTCATTGTCTCAAAACCGCCTGCTCGAAATGCGGTAGGGAAACGAGGAAGCTGAAGCTCGAGACACTGAGAGAGAGACAAGTCTGCGAGTGCGTGCGTGCAAGGGGCCACTGCGCATAGGGCAAATGACGTCATCGACCCAACAAACACTGCGGTATTTTCGAATGGGGTGGATCCGAGGGTCCCGCATATAAATTGATTTATCCACGAAACTATCGCGCCATTTTAAAAACATATTTAGCGGAAATATAGGAACATACAATGGGTCCTAGCAGTGTAATTATCTCGTATTTTATTTGTGGTGTGTCCTAATCCTTTTAAAGGGGCACTGAAGTCGATTCTGAGATTGTACTTTTGTGGTGACAACTCAATGTAGACGCTCTAAGCATCTCAACAAACCCGAAATCACAATCGTGCGTAGCTTATTTCGTTGTTAAAAGCATGTTCAAAGATCGCGACACGCCCTCTTTGGGAAGAATTTTCTTCCGAGTGAAGTGGTCGACGAAGGGCGCTTGTCAGCCAGTTGCAAGTGATGACTTCGTTCGCGGCGAAAAAGAGGAGTCTTATCCGAATGTGTTCCTATCAGACTTTCTTTGAAACGAGTTACAATAAAATCATTTGGAATCTGCGCGTACTGTAGGGCTTTGATTGGTCCACAGAATGTAGTCCACAAGAAAAAAGAGTCCACATGTTTTTCTATTGCACTGAGATGAATAGACGGCTTTGTATTATAGGACTTGGTATATAATTTTTAATGTACTATGTTCTCCGTCGTTATGTATTTATGTATTGTCGTTTTTTTCTTCTTTTTACCATTGTATATGGTACTATTATGTATTGTTGCCTGTAACCTGCCAGGGCCTGAGAAAGGCCTGCAGTATTTTCAAATAAATAAATAAATAATATGGGAACTGACATCTTTTAAACAATGTAAGATCAAAAACAACCTTTTTCAAAAATGGCTTCAGTGCGCCTTTATGAATTCTTGTGGAAAGAAATATTTTAATTTTTTTTAAACAATGGTGGCCATTGATATTTATCAAATTTTCATTGTGCACTAAATATTCACCCCTGAGCTTGTCTAGGACGTATCTTGTCAAAATATTAATTTTCTTTGGGGAAAATGAATTTTGAAATTTGCGCGTACACCTCCGAATCACTGGATGCCGCTCTACTGGCAACAATGAGCAACACTCGTATAGATGTGGCATGGATGAGTAAAAGACCGTTATGGAATGCATTTCTTGACATTAAAAGGGCGTAGGAAAATGTGAGTCAGGAAAAACTATGGGCACAACTGAGAGAGAGAGAGAGGGTATGATTCAGATGCACATTTGGTTAGGCTTTTATGGCAGGTATACACAAACAGCAAAGTGGTTATACCATGTGAAACATAAGTAACGGGACCAGCAGCAATAAAAAGAGGGCTTGGGCAAGGTTGTTCGCTATCGCCCTTCTTTTTTATGATGTACCCGAGTAGAATAGGAAAGAAATCGGAGGAGTGAAATTTAGGTTTTATGTGTCATATATAGAGAGATGGAAAAAAGTAAACCAAATTATACCAGGATTGTTCTGCACAGATAACATTGTACTGCTAGCAGATAGACCTCCTGCTTTGCCCAGGAGGCGCTGTGGAAAAACCGGCTTGCAGCGCTCCCTACGATTTATTTATCTGTATCGGGTAGTTAGCACATTTGAGATTGTCTTGCGTGAAAACGTTAGCTGGCGGTATTAATTCCCCCCTTGCGATTGTTTCACGGTATGGAATCGAGCCAATTTCTAACGTGGAAGGCTTCTTTCGTTTCCCAACACGGGAAGAAACTCGGCAATGCATGCTACTGCAAGCTGCGCCTGTGCTGTACAAAGCCGCAAATTTGGTGTAGGCATGCTATCACTTGCAAAAACAGTGAGCTTTCTATGATGTTGAGCTTGAGGTGAGCATTAAGAGATACATTAACGCGCCTTGTAAGCAAAAACTCCCAAATTGCAGTCCCTCTGTACAGCCAACACGATCGGCTGATGACCAACCTCAAAAATGTGCTAAAGCAGACGCAAGCGATCGAGCTGCGATTGTCGGCCGAGCAGATCGTTCCTACTGCACACTGCTTCTCGAGCTTTTGCAGCTTTTCTTGTGCATTTGAGCTGTAAACTTGACGAAACATAAGATCAGCAGTAGCAGCTCCGCCTTCAGCACATGCTTCTCGCCCTCGGCCCTTTTACTACTGATCTTACGTTGCAAAAGATGTAGTTCAATTGGATCGCTCCACTGGTCAGACAGTAAAGCGTGTTCCTCTTCGTAAACTTCACATGACATATGTTTCAATGCATGTCACGGCCACTTGATCGTGTGACCGTGCTTAGCAGAACAACCTTGAGAGCGAGAAAAACAATTGTCTCGTTTGCTCAGTGCTCTCGGTGGCTAGTATCGTTCCCTCCGTTTGACTTTGTACAGTTTCGATGAGAATCTCTAGAATTTTACGCCGGGGGTAATCCCTTCCTGTTCTTGGCAGTTGATGACGCAAAAGTACTGTCGATGGCGACGTTTTGAACGCATTGAGGCTGCACTTGTTGCTCCCAGTTTCGACATGCTTGGACAAAGGAAAAATTACCAGCTTGCGGCGAGCTCGGGGTTTGCAGGGTAAAGGTGTTGACTAGGAGTAACATATTTTGAGTTGTGATCACGTGAGTGCACAAATAACTGCTGTGTGCAGATGTAAACAGCCGTCCGAACAGGTTTGTTATTGTGCGGTGCTGCGGGACTTGTACTACTCAGACACCCTATCGCCCACCACCAGAGGGCACCAGGATACGTTTAAAGCTTAAGCTTAGCTTAAATGGTAAAACAAAATGGCTAGGTGGCGTAATCTACCGCCCGATTTAGAGGGCTCAGCCGGATTCATTCATCCATCCATCCATCCATCCATCCATCCAGCTCCAGCACAGGAGGCTTATAGCCAAGTTGGATTACAAAAGCTGATTAAAGTCTGTGGAGAAGAAGGAGACTCTCTGGGCCTGAAATTCAGTAGCGACAAGTCAGGAATAATGGTTTATAACGATGAAAAGGGGAACCCACTGGAAATACAAGGCACTTTGATAGAACGCGTGGAGAAGTATAAATATCTGGGTGTATGGCTGAATGAGGAAAAACAATACTTAGAAGAGCAGGAAGAGATTATGCTAAGGAAAGGAACTCGGCGATAATGAAGCATAGGGCACTATGCAATTACAATAGAAATGAAGTTAGGGGAATATGGAAAGGAGTCATGGGTGTTGGGTGAAATCTCAAGTCCAGTCAAGTTAAGAGACCTGGCAGAGGAGTGTGGGCAGGCTAGCACTCGGGGCACATGGGGATACACCAAATGAAGGAGTGCGGGGAGACATGGGCTGGATATCTTTTGGTCGCTGCCATTCTGGATGCTGGCGTGTTTGATGGGGCTTCCCTCACTTGTTGAAGGTTTAAGCTTTAGCAGCTAGGATGTTTTGTAAACATTGGAACGGGCAGCCTATGAATTGGAACAGATATGTGCGTCTCTAGCCAAGCACAGAAATAGCTTGGGCTCCCGTCGGAGTGAGTAGTAGTCTAGTTGCGGAGCAAACGGCTGATGCTGACCCATTTCAGAGTGGAGCGAGAGACCTGCCGCTGAGGAAGCGGCCACCCGCTACATTCAGGTCAAGGTGCCTGGCTCTCCCGTTCGCATCTTCCGAGAAACAACTGTCTGAAGACGAGGTTTGGGCGAGGCCCATCTGCCGCCAGCTCTGCGCTGCACCTTGGCTGAGCACCACATCAGCGTGTCGTGTGCTTTTTGAGCCTGGACATGTTACGGTGCCTCACTTCCAGGCAGACGACGTGGCTGCACCCGTTGTTCAGCTACTAGCGCCACACCTTTTTAAGGTCTCCTTTGGGGAACGGTTTTAGCCTTTGGATGACACCCGCACCAATGTACCTTACTCTGCACGTTTGTAGCAGAGTGTCGAGAGGTATTCTTTTTACCGGGCTCCCGGATGTGACATGGACTTTTTGAGGTTGCGTGTTTCGGGGCGAATCTCCAGATTGTGCGAGCATTGGGCGGACAGGATGGTAGCGTTGTTTGCGCCTGGAGGCACAAGTGGCAAAACTGGACTCAAGTAGCCAAGGTTTGGATGTCGTTCTGTCACCACGGGGTGTCCCTTGCGTCCTTTCGCAATGTCTGAAACGGTGTCTGTGCACCGGGACACATTTTGGGAGATTCCCGCTTGTTCGAGGGCCGTTCTGGGCCCTACCGAGATTATCCACGAGCGATCGGCTCCCCCTCCTTGCCCCCAAGTGCACCTGGTTTACTAGTATTTATAACTTCTTTGTGGTGCCAAATTTGGTCATTTTGTGCATGTGTGCGCAAGACCTTTTGTGTTCTGGCATCTGTCAACTGATTGTGCTACCACCACCATTTCTAGATGTCGCTCGTTATTTAATGCTGTGATGCACCGTGGTGTGTTTCCCCCCTTGCGCGTCGTACAAAGTGTTAACAGTGCAGTGTTCCGTCCAGAGGCCTCAACCACCTCGCCGTGATGCTGTACGATCGTCACAAAGTCAAGTTTCTCTTTTTAAACGTCATTTTCATAAGCACTTTTTTTTTTTCAGTAGTCTAAACAAACATTCAGAAGAAACTTGCTTGGCCATCACTTGCCATTTTGAATCGGACTGCAATAAATCGTGTACATGCTCAACCCTTGTTTACTTGCACTTCCTTTACCAGGTAATGCTGTCAGGCGATGACGACGATTTTTGTACTTTGTGCATACCACTTAGAATGAATCGCAGACGCTAATGATCTATGAAACGCTTTCGGTTTTCGCTACACATGATAGAAGTCGTAGAAACAATGAAAGGGGCACTAACACCCCAAAGGTCATATTTTTTTTTTTTTCTGAAACGATGCACTTTGTAGTCATAGACACGCAACAAAAAACTCATCGCAAAAAAAAAAAAAAATAATAATAATTTTTCTGCGCGCGTGCGCGCCTTTTTATTTTTGCCGTTTTTCTCTCCTGCTGCTCACCTCCTCGCTTCTTTTGATCAGTGACTTCAAAAATCATGAAATTTAGAAGCTTTGTAGGCGACACTTCTATAACATTTAATAACGGCAATCGTAAAACATGTTTCTTTAAGTTACTGCAAACGTACCACGACCCCTCTTTTTGAAATACCGAAAAATCAGAGTCCGGTGTGATGTCGCTTCCTGGATTTGTATCCTCCCTCGGAAAACTTAGCGGCGCTCGAGCAGGGGATGATCGGTGAGTCGGAGGAAGAAACCGTTTTTTCCCGCTCGGTCCGTCGGCGCTTCGGGTCACGGTGGCAACGGCGCTTTGCTTAGTAGCGTGGAGCGGAGGTCCGAGAGAAAGTAGACTCGCAGGAGACTGCAAAATTTGACGTCGGTGCACTGGCACAGATAGTGCAGGAACCTCGAATTCGGCATTTGGAAATTGTTTTTTTACTTCATAAATACTGAATTTCCAAGTTTCGGATTTTGAGCGTAATGTTCCGGCATCGTTTTCAATCGTTTCGGATATTAAAAAAAATTATGATTTTGATGTGTCAGTGCCCCTTTAAGGAAAAATGAGCAGCGTTCACCCCCTCAACTCGCAGCCAGAAAAGCGGCCGCGTGATCTGGAGCCTATTATATGCCGCCAATGTTGATCATAGCCTTGCGCTGGGGTTGGCAAAACACAGGACACGCGCTGAGTTCCAGACATTGTTATGGTTCGGCTATCGTTGTCATTGCAGCGAGTGGACACGGGCCACTACCTGAATGCTTGTTGAGCTATTGATTATCACGAGCTCAAATCGATTGCTCACACAATGCTCGGATCCAATCTATGAGCCGCATTCAAATATCGTCACTGGGGGTTACTGAGACTCCCCAGCTACGTAATGCTCGCTTTTGTCCTTGAAATTACATCGCAACAAAGGAGTTTCTTGGTCAGTGGCTCTAGTGCCAGTAAGCTTGTGTAAAGCGAAAAACATTCCAAGCGAATATTGTTGCACAGCCCCTTTAAAGAGAAGTTTCATGTGCAAGGAATCTAGCTTGCAGCCTTTCTCACCTAGCCACAACAATCAGTGCACCATAGGGGCAATGAATGCATGTTCAAATAGTGCCATATTTATTTCCCAAAGTTTCTGCTGCAGCAATGCTTGGTTAGCCCTGCTTATGAACGGTTGGCAAGTTTGTATGCAGGGCACAAGTTTGTCTGCTTCTTTTACAGGGGTTGTGTTGACGTCAAAACGACAATCTCTGATTGAAAAATAGTGGGTAGACCTCAAGGCAGCTTGCTCTGAGGTCTACCCAGTATCCTTCCATTGGAGCTCGGCATTCTGACGTCATCACAACCCTTGCAAAAGAAGCAAACAAACTTCTGCTCTGCATAAGCACGAGCAGCTAGTTATGGCTGAACCATAATCTCCTTTATGCTGATACTGCCTGCCCAATTGCCAGTTGCCAGCTACCACCATAAGGGTGCACCGCTTTCCCGTAAAAGACAGAAAACGTGAACAAAGTTACTAAGCCTCTAGTGCATTCTTGGTGCTGTTTTGGGCATTTGACGTAACTGTGGGTCGCATTTAGGCTTTTTTTTACCACACTTTGTTCTGCGTTTTATGCAGACTGTCTAAAGGAGGTGCCGGGACTGTCATGTCCCGAGACCCCAAGCAACACTCAGAACCATGAAGACTGACTAAAGCCCATTTTGAGAAAAGACTGCGTCCCAAATTCTACCTTATGCTACTCCAAAGTGCGAAGTAGGCACCTTTTTGCAACGGATATTAAGTAATGCCTGTCTACACAGGCCTTCCTTATAGCTCATTTGAGTAAAGCCTCGGCATCCTGTTGAGGCTTCGCTCAAGCCCAGCTTAGTTCGGGCCTCCCTGTTAAAGCTGGATCAGACCATATACCCTTCCACGGCATCTTTCAGTGCTGTTTGAGTGGCTGACCCCCCAGAACTCCCTCGCAGTTCGACGTAGTGACGGGTGCCTGATGACAGGCACAGTATGTCATCATGAAACGTGAGCCTTGACACAGCTAGCACAGTCCACATTGCTTAGGGGACTTTGTAGCGATTGTAACCCCAGAGGACCCCGGCCATTGCAATTGATCTTCACCTACCCTTCACCTGGTTTTTGACCTCGGCACCAATAAAAACTTTCAGCGTTCGCTGTTTCGATGTTGTGAAAGTTTACCATTTGCTCGTCCGTCTGGCTTGTAATTAGTACTGGGTCATACCTAATGTCTCCTACATTTATTCACTTTTGGAAACATAATGTTATGGCAGAAGGAAATTCGAAGGTCGGGTTCCATCGTCGAGCTCTAATGGAGTCCATTCCCTCACACATACGCTGTTTGCACAACACACTTTGCGGCGTGAGCCTTCGTCTTGCACAACAGTGCGGTGCGAGCATTCATGTACCACAGAATATGTTGCTGCGTATCCACCATGAAACATGCGTTTTGAAGTATTGGAATTATGTATGTTGCGGTACTAGCAGTGCGTAGCAGACAATCATCTTTATTGTATGGGGAGGTGGTGCCCCTGGCGGTGGTTATGTGAAGTAGACACAACGGCGCCAAAGCAGGGGGAAGCCAGAAATTGGGCAGGCATTTTCAGTATAAAGGAGGCTATGGCTGGATGATAGTCTATATCACAGTGGGACATCCGAGTACTAGCATGCGTTGGAGGTGTCAGAGTCGTTATTTCTACGGCAACAATAAGAATCTCGTTTTAACTCTCCTTCCTGATACACGACAATACCATACTAACCTGTGAGGAAACTACATTTTAGTAGTTGCCTCACAGACGGATAGAGGGCGCTGACGCACTCGGCGCCATTAGGTTGCTTCAGTTTGGCGGGTTTCGGTTTCAACGTGAACGCGGCTATGGTGCTGTTTTGGTTAATATTGGGATACGGTTATTTTCCTTGTAGGACACAACCAATGAAACAGTGGTATTGAGCCACTTTGAGGGCTAGGAGGTGTATTTTAGCCTAAATTGTGGGCTTTGTTTTTCCAACTCCTTTGATATATCTGATTATGGTCGGTTGCGAAACGCCCGACTGATTGATGTAGAGGGAAGATTACCATCGTCTACGGTCGTACTTGATGACACTAGTTTCCAGAAAAGACAACCAATGAAGAGACTAACACGTGAATATAAGGAAGCATATCGACTGCTTGATTAGCAAAGTGCTGAATCGGCCAGAACAAATGAACTCGCGAGTTTACTACTTACTGTTCGGTTTTCACGGGCACCGAACCCTTAGTGAACTTCACAGACTAAAAAAAATATATTGTGTAATGACGCAGATAATTTATATAAACAAGTAGTATCGTCTCGGCCTCTTTTTTTTTAATTCAATACTCGAGCATGTTTTGACAGGCCTAGTAGAAAATTTCTCAAATTATCAACACTGCTAAACTACTCATAAACAGCATTTCGCGATATAGGCCCTAGGAAATCAATTATTTTTATAATAACATTTGCTTACTAAAGATATGATGTAAGTGACAGGTCCATCAAGTTGAATCTAGCTGGCAATTGTCTTCTGTAAAATTGGACAAATAAAGTTGAAGGGTGCAGGAGGAGAAATATCTCGGAAAGTTTGACCGAATTCTAGCGCTAGGCACCACTTCACGGACCTTTGTGAACAAATATTTATTTGTTTGAACAGATTCGCTTTGTAAATTTCGGCATTGCCAGCCACTAAAAGTAAACCTCTATTCGCCATCGACAATCCTGGACTCGAATAACTGTTATGCATACGGCTCTTTTTCTTTTTTCGGCGTCAAGTATTGTGATTTTTAGATACTGGCAAAAGTTAAAATAGTGTACGCAAAAAAGAAAAGCGTCATCATTATTGCGCATGCGCCGAACCCAAACTGCGTTTTGGATTTGCAAATAGAAACAATGTTACTTCTTTGTGCACGCTATTCTAAAACTCGCTACTGTTAAGTGTCTCTGGAAGTTTCTTACGCGGGAAGTCCCAGCCTTTGTGTTAAAAGAAATGACTGTCGAAATGGGAGTGAGCACGGTATACAATTTCTTAAACTTAATAAGTAAAACGACTAACCGAATGATTACGTCGCAAAAAAAGATTGAGAACCTTATACACATGTAGGTGTGATATATAAACAAACAAATCGTCTGATGCTGACGTATTGTTACTTCTAGCCTCAAATAAAATGCAAGTTAAATGCTTTTTCTCCATCTCCTCCACGAGTTACCTTATATAATCAAAACAAACTGTTTTTGATATATTACGAATACAAGGAACGATACTTTCAGGAAATTCAGATAGTCTCCTTGCGCTGATTATTGACGCCTTCCAATCCTAAATAAGCAATATAAATAATTATACGCGCCTCTAACTAAGAATGTTCCGCCACTATTAGTAAACAAACCTCAGTTGTCATGAAGACCTTTAAACCCCCGTGGTGTCTCGGTCGTCAAGTAGATGGATCGGACTACAGTTTCCGAAGTAAGGCAAGAAAGTGCGGTGAAACGCAGCGAAAAACACCAATACAACGCATCTGCCAAGGCGCGGAGAGGAGAGCGGAGCAGCAAGTTGAAGCAACCTAATGGCTGCCACGTCACGTGATTACAAGATGGCAGCGACCATGCGGAGGATGATGAAAAGGTCTATAAGTGTGAGCATGGCTGAAGCTACAAGAGCAAGCTCC